CATGGCCAAGCTCCCCCAAGACCACCGCCCGCCCCCCCCCCCGCACCAGCATGCCCAGTCACGGCCCGTCTTTCTCAGGGGTTTCTTTAGCAGCACACTTGGGACTACCTTGCTTTCGCTCTAGGCAAACAACCGCAGGCACAGAGTCCAGTGTTAGAGATTAGGAACTGGGCCTCGCTCGGAGAGTTGGCGTAACAGGCCCACGGCCACACAGCAGGCAAGAGCGGGACACGCTGACGGCCTTCTGGCCACCCCGGGCCACAACCCTGACCACGTGGCCAAGACCCCAGATCCCGTCCTCTGCCGGGTCGCCCCTCTTAGAAGGACCCCAGTCTCTCATGGAGCACACAGGCCCCTTCTCCTGCCCCCAGGATCCTCTCCGATGCCCCAGAACCACCGCTGAGCGACCCTGCAAGGAGAGTCCTTGTCGAACCCCGGTGCCCTCCTCTCCTTTCCCTTTGCCCGACCAGCCCCCGCGCCGGGTAAGACGCAGCCTAGAGAGCGGCGCTGAGGTTGGGCTGGGCCAGGGGGACGCCAATCCCGCCCCGGCCGGCTGGGTGAGTGAGCTGTGGCTCCGCTAACTGCAGCGGAATCTTTCCAGAGTTCACCCGGCCATCCACGAGAAGCACGCGGGCCGCTCACCTCGAACCCGCCGGCTCCTGTGTGTGTGGCCCTGGGACCGCGCGGCGCCCACAGAGGCCTCTCTGCCTCGGTTTCCTCGTCTGTGGCGAGGACCAAGCACCCAGCCTCCAGAGGCCGTTCGGGCCGCGGCGACAAGTGGCCGCGACAAGCAAATGAGGAAGTGGAGCAAGCACAGGGGGTCACCACCACGCTTCGCGTTTTCAGTCTTAACTTGCATGAAATTCTGGAAGCCACCGCTTGCCAAGAAATGCTAAGCCGCAGTCGATGTGCCTGGGGGAATCAGGTTTACTTCAAGGGGGGCTGCAGGGCGCACGGCGGGCTTCCTTGGGAGCCCGGGCAGACCCCGGGCGGCCGCCACCCGCCCCCCTGGCGCTGCCCCAGCGCGCTCCTGGGAAGGTGGCTCTCCCCGCCCAGGCTCTTGCCTCCTTCCTACCCTCACCTCATGGCTTCCTCAGCGCCCGCCCTCGCCCCTCCACCTCCCTCACCTCCCCCAGCCTCACCTTCATCTTCTTCCCTCCTAACCTCACCTCCTCACATCTCTCCTCTCCCCTCCTCGCGCCTCCCCTCCGCACCCCTTCACCTGCACCCTGCTGTCATCTCTGCACCTCCTCACCTCCCTGCCTGTCCCTCCTCACCTCTCCCTCCTGCCTCCCCGCTCTTGCATATAAACCAGGAATCATACTGTCTGCTCTGCTCCCCAGAACAGGCCTGGTGGCTGGGATGAACCCTAAGAGGAGACAAGAAAACTGAGGCTCAGCAGGTTGAGACCTACGCGCGAGGTTCCGCCGATGCACCCCCTCTCCCCCGCCAGCATCTGGCTGCCCCTGGAACTCACCGTCCCTGAGGTTTGCCGCTCTGCTCCCTCGGTCTCCTCTCTGGGAGGTGCTCCCACGCCTCTGCAAGGGGAAGGCTTGTACGCAAACTTCAAAGCCCAGCCCAAGACGCACCCCCCAGCAGGTCTGTGGCTCTCTGCTTATCCTCTTCTCTTCCGCTTGCCTCTCTCCTCTCCAGACTGTCAGCTCTCCAGGGCCATCGCCCTGCCCCGCTCACCTCTACGAAGTAAAACCACGCCTGGTACAAAATAGGCACACGGGACATGATGGGGAGAGGAATGGATGGCGGGTGGATGGTTGGGTGGATGGGTGGTGGCACCCACGAGTGGGTGGGTGGCTGGGTGGGTAGGTGTGTGGATGGGTAGATGGTGGATGGATGGATGGATTTTCAGGGTGAGTTAAAAGAAACTCCGCCTGGTCTCACTCATAGCAGGAATTTAGAAAACCTAAATAAGAGACCAGGAAAAAGACTAATCAATACAAAGTGAAAATCAAAATCAACAAGTGACTATAAACCAGAGACACACTGGGGGGGGGGGGCGGGGAAAGGAAGGACTAGAGTCAAAATAAGGGGGGGTGCAATTGTGTGGAGAATATAACAAAAACGAAAATGTATGCATTGTGCAAAGATGAAAAAAGATGTAAGAATTACATAAAATAAAATATTTAAATAAAAAAAGAAAGAAAGAAGCTCCGCCAAGGGCTGTCCAGAGTAGCTAGAAGTTAGGATTTGAACATATTCCGGGGATCAGCCTCACACCAGCTTCCTGACTTGGTTCTCACTGCAGTGCCACGAGGCAGTCAGGGAAGTTTTCGCTCCCACCTTGCAGGCAAGGACGCGGAGGCTGGAGAAGCTGCACCAACGCAGCGCCGTCGGCAAAGCTCCAGCCAGAGCAGGCGGCGGGCTCCAGACACGGTGCTCCCGCTCGGCCGCCCCGGGGCAGCCCAAAGTGGCACCACGAAGCCTTCACCACCGAGAAGGGCCTTTTGATCCAAATTACATGACCCTGGTGCTCGGGAGCAATTAACAAGGAGCCGGCAGTCGGCCTCTGCAGCTGGTGCGCCCGCGTGGGCGGCGGGGAGGCATTATTATCTGGTGCCACGCAGCCTGCCCAGCCCTGGCCCGGACCGAGGGCTCGTCAGTGCCCAGCTGGGCTGGAGCGGGTGCAGGTTCCCCGAGGCACATCAGAGGGCTCCACAGACTCCTGCAGGCTGCAGAGCTTGGGCCCCAGTGCTGGGGGGCGGCTCCCGGAGACCCAGCTCGAGCTCCCGGCCCTCCACACTGCGCCTTCCCAGAGCTGCCCTCGCCACTCTGGCCTCCCCTCTCCCAGCCACCCCCAGCCCCTGTCACCAGCCCTGCTCTTTCTTTTCTTTCTGACACTTCCCCAGCACCTCACACAGAGCCTGGCCGACAGTAGACGCTCATGAGGCATTGAATGAATGAATAAATGAATGAGTGAAACAATGAACAAATGAATGAATGAAAGGATACCAGGGTGCCTTCCACTCTCTGGCCTCTGTGTGCACTTGGATGGGAGGGGCGCCCTCGCTTGCCCACCGACAGACTCCTGCAAAGAACACGGGGGCCTGGCAGTTGGCTTCTCAATGTGTTTTCTGTACCCTTCGGATCCAGAGGTGCCCCTCCCTGACGCCTACTGCGCACGCTTAGTCTCATTCCCTGTCTCTGAGTGACCATGCCATGGCAGGGGAACATTTGTTCCTGCTGTGGAACAAATGACCCCAAACTTAGTGGCTTCAAGCAGGTGACTCGTGCGCTCAGTGTGGCCTGGACTGGGGCTCCTGGGTGTTGAGCAGGCAGCTGGGAGGGCTGGAGGGGATGTGCAAACCGGGAAAGACAAGTTCAAGGCCATAACCTTCACACGCTGGTTCCTCGTCCAAGTGCTGCAGGTCCAGGGAGCAGAGGGAAGGCAGCGTCTTCACAACAGAGACACCCGTGATGATGACTCTTTCAGCGTCAGTCCAGCCAGCAGCCCTCTCTGGGGCTCAGCATCCCTTGGTCACGTCACTCAAGTCAGATCCACTCAAGAAGCCGTCGGCTCTTCCTGCCAGCAGGAACACAGGCTAGATGTTGGCTGGGTCAGCTGGGCTTGCAGAAGCCCCTGATGTGCACGCAGGCAATTTATGGAGGGTGACTTCACTGCCCTTGATGGAGTGAGGGGAGCAGCCCCAGGCTGAGGAGAAGTGGAGCAGCCATGTGGTTTCCTCATAAGCCTAGATACCCCCCGGGGAGCCCTGCAGCCAGAACACCCTCAGAGCTGCAGAGCAAGGCCAGTCCTCTGTTCCCGGCACTGGCCAGTCCTTCCATGGCCAGCCCTTGCCTGCCCCAAGGGATGGGGCAAAAACCGTAGTCTGCCTCTGTGGACAGGGAGATGCGGGCATGGGTCCGAGACGGGCAGGGTGGGGTGGGGATTGGCTCCTGACCTAGAAGCCACTGTAATCGCCAAGTGCCAGGGTCAGCTCAGGATGCCTGAAAACACCGTGGGCGGGGGGGGCTTCTCCAACAGAGATTTATTTTATTCACCAGGGTCAGAACTTCCTCTGGAGGCTCCAGGGAGAATCTGCTTCTTTGCCTTTTCCAGCTTCTAGAGGAGCCCATGTGCCTTGGCTTGCGGCTCCTCCTGTCATCAAAGCTGGCAGGAGAGCATCTTCCCTCTCTGACCCCTGCGTCCACCCCGCCACCTGCCCTGCATCCTCCCATGGGGCCCTGTGGACACTTGGGGCCCATTCAGGCTAACCCAGGACACCCTCCCTCTCAACAGTAACTCTAACCATGCCTGCGAGAACCTCTTTCCATGGAGAGGTTCCCAGGCTCCAAAGACGACCACATGGATGTCTTTGGGCCATAATTCTGCCCACCACAGTGTGTTTCAAGAACTTCCTCTGCCACAAGCAAAACAGGCAGAGGAGAAAGCGGTGGAATTAAATTCGAGAATATTGGTGATGATCAATTCCACAGCCATGGTGAGAGTGTGGGAGCTTTCAAGGAGGGGGTCGTGACTATCCAGACCTGTGAGAGGCCCTGGGAGCTTTGACGAATCCCCCAATTGTGATGGTAAAAATGATGTCATCGACGTGGTGTGCCCCATCGCACTGCACTGTGCCAGACTTTAACATTTTTAAAATGCATCTGGAAACCCAAAGTGAGCTATGTGACACAGAGAGTTCTAGAAAAGGTCCTACCTCCAGCACATGGAATAGGAAACAGAACTCCTAAGCCTCAGAGCAAGCGTGGAAGTTCCCTGGGATCCCCCATTCTCTCCCCCACACCCCAGTTCCTGTATCAAAGGAAGAAGAATCATTTCTCCCCATTGTTGGAAAGTCATCCTGAGAGTGGTCAACTCTGTTGCTTTTCTTCTCTCTCTGTCCTTCTGTTTCTTGGTCCTGGATGTGGGTACAGTCATGAGAATGTGAGTAAGAATAGATTATTGAGTCCCAGCTTTCTGGCCAGTGGCCTGGAAGGGAATTGGAATGTTCTTGGGAGGGACTTCAGAAAGTGACATCACAGAGCTCTTTGTGAACTCCTGGATTGGTCTCCACTGCTCTGCCCCTGATCGCTGAGTGTCCAGTCAGATCTCATCCTATCTAGGATATCTTTGAGAAATAAACAGATCACCACCCACATCTCAGAGTAACCGGTATTTTTTTTTTTTCAGATTCAAGTTATCTTTTATTTCAGAACACCTTAATTTCTTTTTTTTTTTTTAAGAGTAACCAGTATTAACCAACGAATGGAGCACACATCTGAACAGCATGACAAAAGTTCAGTGGATACAAGACCTTGATGTAAGAGCTCTCTTCTTTTTCTGAAGCGAGCATTGCTAGAAATTTCCCTCTTGGCACTGCTTTGACTGAATCTCATAAGTTTTGGTAAGTGTGTTTTACTTTTAAATCCTCTCAGAATGCTTCCTAATTCCTCTTTGGATTTTTCCTTTGACACACTGTTGTTTAGAACAGTATTGTTGAATTTTTTAGTGGCCTCACTTTTTCTTTGTCCTCCTTTTCCTATTTTTTCTTTTTAAATTTGTTTTTAAATGATGCTATCGTAGTTCCTGTTTTGGCTTATTAGTTTTAATTCTTTTTTTTTTTTTTTTCCTTTTGAGTGTTGCTTTAGGGCTAATGGAACACTTTTTTTTTTTTTTTTTAGAGAGGCATGTTATTTATTTATTTATTTGTTTGTTTTGTTTATGCAAGCACTGGGTACAGTCAGAAGCGCGGGGGAGGGCGAGAGAATTCACCAGAGCCAGAGCGGGGAGCAGAGCAGGCAGAAGGACCGAAGGACACTGCTAAGGGGAGCAGCGGGTGGCAAGAGAGGTCTGCGTGCCATGTGGGACCCTCCTCCAGTGGCCGGGGAGCAGCCGCAGAGGCCACGGGCAGCTTCGCAACCCAGCGCTCAACCGCTGCGCCACCGGGGAGGCCCTGGAACACATTTTTTTTTTAACTTACTTACCACAGTTTACCTTCAAGTCATATTATACCACTTCTCATGTCAGAGAAGAATCAGGCCCCTCCTAGCCCTTGTACTACCAATGCCATACATTCAACTTCTGCACATGCTACAAACACAGGATACATAGTTATTGTTTTGAATTTAAACTTTTGATTATCTTTTCAAATCAAAAATAAGAAGAAAACCTTAGAGACATTGACATATTTATGATTTCTGGCTCTCTTTTTCTCGTTATGTAAATCTGAGTTCTATGCTCCAGGAGAATTTTGTTCTGCCTGCATGGCTTCCTCTAATACTTCTTAGATGCCTGCCTGCCTGATTTTCTCCTTTCTTTTTAAAAGATCCTTTACACTGGGTATAGAATTACCTGTTTTTTTCTTTATTGCCTTAAAGATTTTTATTTACTTCTTTCTAGTTCACACTGTTTTCAAGGAGAAATCTGTTGTGATTGGTATATTGTTCCTCTATCATAATATTTTAATCTAAATAAACTATTTTTAAGATTTTCATTTATCACTGGTTTCAAACAATCCGATTATGATATCCCTTACTGAAGATTTCCTTACATTTCGTGTACTTGGGAGTCATTGAGCTTCCTGGCTCTGTGGGTGAAAGTTTTCACCAAATCTAGTCTTTTTAATATTAGTTGTTTTGATATTGTTTCTTTAATCCCCTACTTGTTGTTCTCTTTGCACTTTACAGTTTCACATATATCAGTATATTGGCGCTTGTTCCACAATGTGCTGTTCATTTCCCCCCTTCTGTGTTTCAGATTTGGATAATTTCTATTACTGTGTCTTTAAGTTCACTACTCTTTTTGTTTTTTTTTTTTCCTCTGAAGTTTCTAATCTGCTCTTAATCCCATAAAATGTTTGATTTGTTTTTAAAACCTCAGACACTGTAGTTTTCAATTCTGGAAACTGATTTAGCTTCTTTTAATGTTTTCCATATCTTAATACACTTAGTCTTTCCTCTACTTTCTGGGACATGGTTATTGCGATTGTTTTAAGGTATTTGTCTCCATGTTATCTATGTCATTTCTTGTTCTATTTCTATTGATTGAATTTTTTTTTCATTACAAGAAAAAAAAAAGAAAGAAAGAAAGGGAGAATATATTGAAGAAACTACCACTGGTGGCGGCATCACCGCCACCATCACCACCACCATCCTATGTCAGAACCACAAACTGTCAGGGATTTTTTAGCCCCTAGTCTGACACTTCTGTTTTATAAAAGGGGAAACTGAGACCAGATTACTAGTGAGATAATGGTGGCGTTGGAACTAAAACCAAGGGCTTCTGGCCCCTGCTCCAGTCTTCTTGCTCCTGATACGGAGCTATGTAAGAGATAGGTGGAGCAATGAATACCCATCACGGGATTCTTGGGGCATGGAAGGGGATTCAATAGTCCTTTCCTCCTCCAGTGGGAACTCCCCCACTTCCTTGCTTCATCTTTCCATAGTCATCTACCTGTTGCCCTCAGCACCTATTAAAAATGAGGATGTTACTAAACCCTTTTTTTTTTTTTTAGTGGAAAAAAAATTTTAAAAGTATAACAAAGGGAGGGGCCTCCCTGGTGGTATAAGGGGTTAAGACACAGCCTATGAAGCTCACCACAGCCTCTGCAGCACGAGTTTGACCCCCAGATAGGGAGCTGACCCACATGGCGCAGCAGACCTCTCGTGACTTGCCCGCTGCTCCCCTCAGCAGTATATTTCAGTCGATCTGCCTGTTCTGCTCCCCACTCTGTCTCTGGTGGATCCTCTCACCCCCCAAAATTCTGTCCTGTACCCCAGTTCTTGTATGTATAAATAAATAAATCTTAAAAAAAAAAAAAAGGAAAAAAGATAGATAAGAAGCCGTTTGTCTAAGGAGCCTCTCTGATCTGGAAGCTCTGACATGGGTCTAAAGTGAAGGCAACTCCTATAAAAAATTGGGCCATAGATGCTCTTAAAATTCTTACTATGGTCTCAAAGAAACCCTACAGAATTCCTGAACAGTGTGGATGGATTCTTTTGTAGAGGATTCTCATGAAATATTTACAAGTCTCCTGGACACCCATAGGATGCTCTTGGGCCGTGCCAGGATTTTCCCACCAGCGCCTGTTTCTCACGGAATCCTCTCGCCAGCCTCATGGAAGGGCCAGGGGAGACCGGAGGCGTTCTCCGACCTTCATGAGATCGTACCGGACAGAGTGTGTCATTCTTGATGAATTCTCACAGATCCATGAAATTCCCACTTGCAGCTTCCATGGGATTCTCCGCTGACTCCCACGGCATGAGGGTAAAATCCCCCTGAAACGCCCACAGAACTTACATTAAATTATCTAAGAAACCGCAGAGCGCACGCTGAGAAATCTTGCACAAGTCCCTGGGAACAAAAGCAAGGACTCTGGATAATCGAGGACCAGCCCAGCGCCATCCTCCAGGGTCTCGTCAGCACGGAAAGACATGGAACTTCTTTTCCAAATGGGACAAGGAGGGAGAGCAGATGTGTCTCAAGCTGCAACGTCTTTTTTTTTTTTTTTTTTTTTGTGGGACCCTCGCTGGCGGCCCAGGAACGAACCAGCGCTGCAGAGGCTGCAGGCAGCCCCGCAGCCCAGCGCTCACGGCTGCGCCACCAGGGGAGGCCCACAAGCTGTAACTTCTGACTTCAGTGGGAGGGAAGAAGCCCACGTAGTACAGACAGGGAGAAATCTGGGTTTTCTCACCAAGCATTTCCCTGTTCTGCCCGCTCCAAAGGCATCCCCACCCGGGACCTGTAGACGGTGGGACAGAACTTCTCCAGAAAGCCCTTCCTGCTGTTACCGCAACACCCCCTTCTCGTGGAGCCACAGGCTAATCATGAATAGTCTCCAAATCATTAATTAAGCCAGAGTCAATTAAGGGCTTTGGATGCTGGCACACCATGAGTGCTGTCTATCTACGCGCCATTCTTCTCAGGCTGGACGTGCCGGCCGCGCTGCGAGAGCCGTCCCCGCAGCCTGCTGTTCCCGGACAATGCCCTGGGTTCTTTCGAGTCGGCACCACAGAAACGAGATCCCAAGGGGCTCAGCAAGGGAGACAGCTGCCGCACAAAGGGATGCCTGGGGAGGTCAGGGAGGCGCCCGGCAGCACGCCCCAGCCTCGGTGCAGCCGCATCTGCCAGGGCCTGGCACGCTCCCAGCCAGCCTGGCCCTGGACCAACGCTGGGCCTGGGAGCCGGGGTCCCACGAGCTGGCCTGCTGGCCTTCCTTCCCCGGGCGGCTGATGGCTGAGATGCCTTCCCTGCTCCTCCCAGGGCTGCCTCCACAGGTCCTGAGGTCTTAGCTCCTGACAGCTGCTCCCCCGGGGACCCCAGGCTAAGCTCGGGCTCCTTCCTTTAGGCTTTCATGGCCCCTGGCATTTGCCACGACTAGTTCATTGAGCATGGGGTGGATGTTTTAGGGCCCGGACCCCGGCAGAGCAGCCTCTCTAGTGCCAAGGCAGTGCCTGACACACGCAGGTGCGTGGTAGGCATTTGCTGACTGAATGAAAGATGCCAATGACCATCACTCTCTGACAACAGTAACTAACGAGCGGGTGCACTCTCCGTCCACATGGGCCTCGGGCGCCTCTGCAGAGCGCATGCTGACCGCCTTTCAAGGGAGACGAGTTTGGAGGGCAGCACACAGGTGGAATATTAATAATTAGCACATCTGCTAAGTGTCCACTCTGTGTCTGGCATGGCCCCGGGCACCTCTTTATTCCACCAAGGTCCAGCTTCTGGGACTTTCTTTCAGGCTGTTGGAGCAACACATGGCTAGATCCTCAGGGTATGTGGCCCTGAAATCAGGGGACCCCTGAATAAACACTAATATCAACATGAGCCCCAGATACCAGTGCGGGCCCAGCCGCCTTCTGTGCGTTTATTGCTGACATCTCTTTGCCCAGAACTGGTGCTCTGGGTCACCTTAGCCGCCAGGAGGCTGGGGAACAGGCACCCCATCTCCGCAACCTCTGTGCCTGGGGTGGCAGCCAGAAGGGGGTGCCCCCTCAGGTGGGCGCCATGGTCCCAGCCAAGGCCCTGGGAGGAGGGGAGCTCGAGCCTGGGCTCTGCCCTGGAAGAGGATGGAAATGACGTCACCACCATGCTCGCCAGGTCTGAGGAAGCGCAGAGCCGGGCTGGACTCCGGCTGCCCCCGCCTCTGCCTCCTCCAGACAGATTTCCCGCTGGCTGCCGCACCCACCGGCCACCTGGACTTCATTTCCTTAACAATTTTCTTCCAATTGCCTCACCTGTTAAAACTCTAATCGCATCCTAAGCAATAATATCAGTGAAATCACCTTTTGGGGTTGGGGGTGCGTGTGGCAAAGATTAGTGTCTCTTCCCACAAACATCACTCTCTCTCTTCCTGTGGAAGAAGCCCCAGTTTCTTCACTCGGCCACAGGTCTGCCCTGGCCTCTTTTAGTCAAATATGGGCTTACACCTTGTCCTCAGTGGGAGAGCCACAGAAGGTGGACCTTCTCTTGCTCCTTTTCCTGTTCTGCTGTCTGCTGTCTGGCTGGGAGGCCCGATGGCGGAGCCGCCGACTAGACCTTGAGGTGACGAGGCTGGCCGCCCTGCACAGCAGAGTGACCAGATGGGAGGGGGCGGGCCTTGATCTGTGGGCTGCCCTGGCAAGTTTGACTTTCATTAAAGAAAAAGCAAATTTTTTCTTGTTGAAGCCACTGGGTTTGTTGTGGCTACTGCTGCGGCTGCTGTCAATTGCAGTGAAATCTCTTGCTAACTAATATGCTAGAAATATTTTTGAACACATTTGTGTTCAGCCTGCTGCCTGGCAAGGTGGGGGGCAACCGAGCCTCCCAGCCCCCACGAACCTCTAAGATTTCTCAATGGCAGAAATTTCTCTCTCTCTCTCTCATGTCTCACCTCTTCGGTGGCCACACGGCTCATCCTCTGTCAGCCGTCCTCCCGGAGCCGTCCTTACAGCTTCACCCTCCTAGGCTCAGGCGTGCACACTGGCACATGTGCACACACCGAGGCTCAGGTGTCCACAGTCAGGCTCACGCGCCCTCGGCCCCAGGAGCCCCCGCGCCAACATGATAAGGGCACAGGTGATGCCGCAGAGACAGCGCACAGAAAGCCTGGCCAACGCTTATCCTGCAACATCCTACAATATACGTCTAAGTAGTAACAGTTTAGAGGGTGAGGACCACTGACGCCGTCCCGGCGGCCCCGGGAATGTCTGTATCTGAGGAAACGACATCGCACCAGTGAAAAAGCCTCGAGAACGATAAAGCGCCACAAATTTTATTCTGCTCCCCTGGGTCTTGTCCAGCCAAGGACGGGGCAGCGCTGGGAGTGCTGCTCTGGATGTGGTGGCTAAGGGGGGAGGCCAAGGGACGCTGGCGGTGCGAGGGGTGAGCCCACGGCCGTTTTCCGCCGAGAATCTACGTGGCCTCAGACAAGGTGTTCGAGTCAGCAGAAATCAAAGCCTCTGACTCAACTCACACCAAGCATTTCTGGTGGCTTGTTGTGAGCCTGGCGCTGGTGCCGCGGCCCGGCTCCTTGGCCCTGAGGGGTCCTCGTCTAGCTGGGGGTGGACTTGGCCTGGGCGTGAGGAGGAGGAGGTGGGCCACAGGCCCAGATTCCGAGACCAGCGTCTTCCTCCGAGGTCCCAGGGCTGCTGAGAAGAGGATCCTGGTCCTGGAGCTCGTTGTGAGGTGACTTGGGAAGTACCTCTCTGTGCCTCAGCTCCCTAATCTATCAAGTTGGCATAATACCCTCCCCCCGCCGTTGGGCTGTTGTGGTTTATTGATACCAGCGGCTGGAGCCATCACAAGGATCACTCTGTGCCTCTCTGCCCACCCTCCCCTCAGCCACACCGAGAGTTTGGATTGGCCACCGAGAGTGGAGGATTTGCACCACGGAAACGGGTGGATGCTGTAGACCAGGGAACCCGCCCCCCACCCCCCACCCCAAGAGCTGCCGCTGGTGACATCGGCCATTGTGCTGTGGATTCTTGGGGATACCGTCCCTGAAACAGTGCCTGGCACACAGCGCTTCCCAGGGGCCGGGGTGACCATCATAGGGATTATGACAGGCAGTAGGGGCAGGTGGTGCCCAGGCCTAGTGGGCTGAAGACACGTTTATCCCAATTCTGTCTTCTGGTCCCCGTCACGGAGACTTCTTCTCATCACCTCGGCCTGCCTAGAAGGGCACAGCCTATTCTTGCACAAAAGTAGATTTCTTTGCTTTCCACCAGAAGCCAGTTTCTGTTTAAGAAACAGTCACAGCCCAAGCAGTTCCTGCTGTACCTGACCATTGAGATCGGTCACTCCCTCCAGCCCTGTGCCTGGACAAGTCACTTGAGCTTTCTGTGCCTCAGTTTCCTCATCTGTAAACTGGGGATGACAGTAGCAGCAGAGAAACACCTGGCATGCAGTGTGTGCCCCATAAATTTTGCTGCTAGTAACAGCACACAGAGCAGCCGCGCCAGTGTCCTCACATCTGCACACACAGCTGCTCAACAGCTGTACCAGACAAGACGCTGCGCAGCCACTTGGAAGGTACACGACTGAGGCATGGAGTTTGGAGGTCCCTGGGCTGGGGAGTGGGCCCCTGCCCGCCCCTCCCACCCCAGCCCAGAGGCCTCCGCCCCGTGCCAGCTGAGAGGCTGCCAGACCCCCAGTAACTTCTGTGTCCCCTCAGCCCAGCGGGAGCATCAGAAGTCAGTGGCTCGGACAATTGCACTTTCTTTTCTCTTTCCAAAGAGGGATCAGCCTCGAGTTCTTTGAAAGAACTGTGATTACATCTTCATTTGTGGGTAATGGGATTAGCCGGCCCATGGCAAGCCCGGGGGTGGGGGGATTGGCTGCCAGGAGCCTGGAAGGACTGCTCCAGGCAGCCGGGACCCTGTGCCCTGCCTGGCTCCGGACCCCAGGGTGGGGGGACACGTCTGCCCTTTGACAGGAGCAAGGAGCAGAAAATGGAATTAACCCCAGCACCCCGAGGGCTGGCTTACCCCACCCCAGCCTTCTTCTGATCAAGGACCTCTGAGCCCCAAATAGCAGAAATCACTGCTCTCCAGGATAATGATAATGAGATAAAGGTGTGTGCGTGCGTGAATGTGCGTGATGATCCCATCTAGGGAACTGTCCCAGACGGAGCAAAGAAACAAAGGCAAGAGCAGAGCAAACCCGACACTCCACCTGTCTGAGACACGTGTCCAGTTCTCTGCAGACCTACTCTGTGCGGGGGTACTCACCAGGTTTGCATCCCCACGAACCCTCCTTGGAGCCTGCTCCTGCACCAGGTTTCACGCTGGGGACCCCACGTGTCATTTCCCGTGATCCTCCCACAGTCCTGGGAGGCCAAGGCCAGCCACCCCAGGCCCAGGTAAAACTGTGAATACAGGAGGGGTTGAACTAAGCGATGCTGACACACGCCCTCGGAGCCGACACCAGGGTCTGGGCACTCGGTGCCCATCAGACAGCCCTGGTCTGTTGGCACCCCACACATTAAAACATCACGTATTCATTTAATAGTTTCCTTGAAATGTCCTCTCTTAAAAACGTATTATTTTGCTAACTTCGTTTTGAAAAATGTCAAACCTACTAGAAGATGCATGATTGAGCACCCAGGATCCTCGTCATGGACTAATCTCACCAGCTGCTGCCATTTGCCATACTTCTCTCCCCACATAGATAGTGGATATTTAATGCATCCGTGTGTGCACACTTCGTGTCCTTCTACACACACAGCGGCAGCTACACAGGGCCAGTTCTGTGCGCGTGTCCACGAATTTGTTATGATGTATCTGTGTGTTTTCTTTTTGGTGATCTGTTTGCATACCGCATGACACTTGACTTCTAAATACTCAGCGCGGATCTTTTAGAACAAAGACCTTCTCTTACGTAACTACAATGATGATTAGCACACCAGGAAATGTAACATTAATTTAATTCTGTTATCTAAGTTACAATCCACATTCAGATTTCCCCCCAATTAACCCAATAATGCCCTTGAGACCCTTTTTTCTTTGTAAATCCAGGACACGATACTCATTGCACGTCTTTATCATTTCTCCAAGATGTAATCGGAAGGACGGAGAGCAAATTGACGAGGACGATCCTCTCTCACCGCGTGCCTGCAGATGCCGCGTCAGCAGCCAGTAAGTCACCTCTTGTGGGTGCCCCTGGGGGACACCACCCCGCTGCTTCCCAGAGAGAAGGTCCAGTCTGTCCTCAAGCTGGACACTGGATTCTGCTTCTGCTTGTCAAATGAGGCGTGGTGAGCCCCTCGCCCACAGCCCCGCCTCCCTCACTGTGCAAACCCCAATATTCAGTGGCAGCGGGCCGGTCTGCCCTGGACACAAGGACTGGTCTGGGCCAGCCTTGGAGGGTGCTCACTGTCTCGGCCCCCCTAAATCTAGTGTCCACGTGACCCTTCCAGTCTGTGAGCAGAGAGGGAAGTCTTCCGAGACGTGTACCCCTGGGGACCTTCCCCTTGGCTGATAAAAGACGTCCCTTCAGCCGTGCTGCGCCCTGCCCTTCTGCCCACTTTCTGCACAGCACTTGGTCGTGATGTCTGGAGCTGCTGCAGCCATTTGTGGCCATAAAGGCACATATGTTGGGATGAAAAGCCAGCGTCTGAGGAAGACGGAGCAGAAGTTCTCTGATGCTGACACTCAGTCGCTGCTCCAGACCTGAACGCCCCCCTCCTCCCGGGGCAGAGGTGTACCTGTCTAGTGGCTCAAGCAGAAACCAAAAGTATTCCTGGTTGATATTTTCAGAGGCTTCTAAGAAACTTCCAGATATAGTGGGAAGTGTAAGGTACTGGGCCAGATAAAACCAGGTCCAGACTTCAGAGGCACACTCCAGGTAGGCCCATGAGCCAAGGGGACAGACTTTAACTTTTCAGAGTCCAAATGTCTCAGCTGCCAAAAACAAAGGGGGAGGAGAAGAAGAAATTCCAAGAAGTACTGTAAGACGGACATGCACGCGCCTCTGTATTCATCCAGTTGTCCACTCAGCAAATATTTGTCAAACACCTGCTCTGTGACCTCGTTCAGTGACTATTGAGGGAGCACCTACTGTGCTCTCAGCACCGTCTTCAGCTCTGCAGGCATCTGCGTGAAGCAAAGTCCTTCCTCTCCTACATGTGCACCCCAACATGCACCCCAAGATGCCCTGGGCTTTGATGACAAGCAGAGCAGATCTGATTGTCTCCGTTTTCACAGAGGAGGAAACTGAGGCTCAGAGTGGCCCTGGCCCACCTTGTGCCCACCTGCCTGGGGAGCGGAGCCGCTGGCCAGGCACTGGGAGCTGGCTCCTGCTGCCCACGTGGGTGTTGTCCCACAGAACGTGATCAGGGCCTGCGATTTTGCAGCTGTAAAAGCTCTGGAGGAAGGACCCACCATTTCCTGCTCCTTTGAGAAATGTGTTTCTGATTTTGATCCCACTTTATCAGATACATAAAATGGATTATCTGGAGAATGACGGGCTCACTGGTGCATGATGAGCCAATAACCTTGGCTTTCAACTTGCCAGACCTGATGGGGTTACCTGGGGAGAGAGCTGGGCGGGGCTGGCATAACCAGCGCTCTCCATGGACTTTCACTGGCGTTTTCTTTGCTGAGAGCCCGACAGCCCACGTGCTGCCCTGGAGGCTGTTTAAGTGAGATGTGTCATAAAGTCTGGTAGGGCTGGTGTCCTTATAGGAAGGGAGACACCAGAGATGGCTCTCTCAGCCTCTCCTCCCCCCAAAGCCAAACGAACACAGAGGAGAGACCACGTGGGGACACGGTGAGGAGGCAGCGTCTACAAGCCGGGAGGAGGGCTCCTGCCAGAAGCAGATCCAGACCCTGCGGCATCTGGATCATGGAGCCCCCAGAACCGTGAGAGTCTATGTCAGGGCCTGCAGTCCACACCCCTCCCTGCCGTGGTAATTATGGGGCAGCCCAAGCAGACCACACATACTCCCCAGGCCCTTCTCCCCAAGCCCTATTGTTGGTTTGTCGGTTCAAATGTCCTTTCTGACTGGAAAGAGCTGGGCGTGATCAGATAATATCAGTGTATGTTAGAAACTCTGCTCAGGGCCTCCCTGGTGCCCTAGGGGTTAAGGCTCAGCGCTATCACCACTATGGCCTGAGTTCAATCCCCGGCCAGGGAGCTACCCACAGGGCGCAGCAGACCCTTCCTGTCCCCCCCGCTGCTCCCCTCAATAGTGCATTTCAGTGGATCCACCTGTTCTGCTTCCCACTCTGTCTCTGGTGAGTCCTCTCACTGCCCCACACCCCTGGCCTACATCCCAGCTCTTCTACGCAAAAATGAATAAAATCTTAAAAAAAAAAAAAAGAAACAAAGAAGGAAAAGAAGCTCTTCTTCCAAATGGCCCTCGGGCAAGGCTCCTGACCCCAGGATCGTGCCTTGAAGTGAACCTCTGAAAAGAACACCCTAAAATGCCAGGGAAAATCCCAACGAGGGGTATTTGGGAACAATATTGGGAAGAAAGCAATTTTCTAGTTGATTTTCTACAACAATCAACAGAGGCAAGGATGCCAGGGGGAAGTTTTAACTACAAGTCGGCGGCAATCACCTGCAGGCCCAGCGGCCTCAGGCGCACTCTCCAAGGCGGACAACCCACGAGGATGCCCGCAGCCCAGGGGACGGTGGAGGTGGTGAGGGTGAGGGTGGAGGCCACGGTGTGGACCAGGGGAAGTGGCGGGGATGGTGGTGGTGCCGGGCGTGAAGGGGGCGAGGCGGCGAGGGCGATGACAATGTTGCTGACGATGGTGATGATGAAGATGCCGACGGTGAGGAGTTGCGATGCTCAGTGGTGATGACGGCCACGAACGTGATGGTGACGGTGGTGACCGTGACGATGATGGTGATGGAGACACGATGCGGGTGCTAAGTGCACGGGGAGTGGGTGGCAGCCACGGTGATAACGGCGGCTGTGATGCTGCTGCTGGCGGGCATGACGACAGCCCAACAACTGCTGGTCTCGTGTGCGCATTGGCCACACGCAAGGAACTCTGCTAAGGGGTCTGTGTCGTCTGATGAGAGTCCGTCTCATTACACCCACGGACAGATAAGGACACGGAGCCCAAGGACACGCAACTGGTGAGGCGTAAGCTGTGTTCCGTCCACCCGTCCCAACAGTAATTTACTCTCTTTCCTTAGCTTGCCTTGGTGACTACCTTCGGGTGAGCTCCACACATGTGGCTCAAGAAAGGCTCCGTGCCCACGAGGTGGAAAAGCAAGCGTCTAGTCTGAGAGAAGACTGTTCCGGGGCCACATCGCTCTCTGTGAAACGCGCCTGCCGTGCTCCCCAGAGACCTCACAGACCAGAGCACAGCTGCACGCTGCTGTCAGAGAGACCCTCAGGCTGCCGTGTGCAAACAGAGGCTCCAGCCCACAGGCGGACAACTGAACCGCCCTTCTTCAGGCCTCCCGTGGGAAGGTGCACACCTGCCCCACCTTCATCCACACAATTCCACTTACAAAGCCACTGTGGCATTTGGCCCCTGGTTCTGTCCACCTAGTGCGTGGTGCCCCGCAGAAGCCACAAAGGAGTCCGCAGGCCCCACCGCGCCGGGGCAGGGTAATTGCAGGGCCCGCCACCGGGAGCCCTGGCGTTGCATTCCTGGTGATGCCAGGGAAACCCAGGGAAGAAGCAGGAGGCTTCCGAGGGGGCCAGATCCTGGAAGCCACCTGTGAGGAGGGTGGGCGCGGCCGGCCCAGGTGTGCCCCACGCGGGAGCGCACCCTCGCCTGCACCGTCACCACATGGACAGGGTGAGACAGAGACCAGGCTGGCTGCAGGCCTGGCCCAACTGCTCTGAAGTCTGTGCCCAGGGGGCATCCCTGTGCGGTCAGTGCTAGGCCACGTAGCTGGCCGTGCCTGTCCTTCTGAGCCCAGAGGTTCACTGTCTCTTGATTTCTGTGAAGGACCCTGAATCTGAAATAAAAATCTCTGCCTACGAGCCTGGCGGCTCAGCACACCCACGGTGCGAGTGGGGGTCGTGAGCGCAGAGCAAGTCCATCCAGTGGGGGCGGGGGGAGGCGGAAGGACTGGCAAGCCCCGCAGAGGGCCCCATGGGCAGACCCCCGGGAGGGACACGCCGGCTGCGTCACGAGTAACGGGGTGGCTGGGGTGCTGAGATTCAGCATGCAGCAAACCCCCCAGACCACCCCACCCCCGGAAGTGGCAGGCTGGCTCCATGCATTTCCCAGGGCGTGGGCTTTGCAGGTCACTCCATCACCCGGCCCCTCTGGTCTCTGCTCCCGTGGTGATAGAGCTAAGAGGCGCCTCGGGGGGTGGGAGAATGAGACGCCTCAGGGGGGCACCTGGAAATGAGACTTCGGACCAGGCCCTCTTCCCCAGGGTGCCCAGGAGAGCCGGGGCAGGACAGGGCCCCAGAGCAATCTGAGGTCCCTGCTGGGGTCTGACTCAGCCGCAGGCTCCGTGGCGCTGTCTGACTCAGTAAAAATGGACACTCTGCCCCCTGAGCCTTTCCGAAGGTGGGCTCCAGATGGATTAAAGCCTTTGAGGTGAACATTCAAACAAGAAAGCCAATCAAAGAAAGCAAAAGTCATCTATCTTGGCGCTGGAGGAAACAATGATTCTACCCCCCAAAGATCCCCAAAGTGCGTGCCAGACAGAAGGGGAAATGGGATGGTCAGACTCCCTCAAAAGTTAGGATTCTGGGTTCAGGATGGATACCCGGGAAAGGCAGCCTCGACAGGGTCAGCAGAGGCGGGAACGGACGAGGGGGCACTTTCAGAGCCTACAGGGAGGCTCGAGAAACAGCAGGAAAAAGACAAAGGTCGGCTAGGAAAGCACACAGATGCGCCCGGAGAGAGGATGAGAGGCAGAGGAGGCGGCCTGCAAACCCTCGGTGGGAGGAGACGCCGTTTGTGAAAGATGTAGACTCGTGGGGAGAAGGGCAGAAGCGCCCTGAGTGGATGAGTTCGTGTCGGCTGTGATGCCTTGGGGCACGGGGCACCAGAGACGGGCAGGCTGGCCTGGGCCCCGAGACACCACTCTGGGGTGTGTGCCAGGACAGCATGACATGGGCCCCTGGAGGGCAGGTCACAGGTCCCCCAAAAGCATAAGACACAGAACCAGAGAACAGGGAATGCTGGTGCCCACCCCTCTCACCGGGAAACGTGGGGCTCCGTGTGTGTTGCCCCTCCAGGCAGGGTGGGAAACAGGGGGACAGAGGTGACCATGGAGGTCACTGAGCAGGACGCGACTGCTGGGTCCCACTGCTTTGGTTTGCTGCTGCGTGAAGCAGGCTTTGAGGCCGCCAAGTTACTGATCCCTCTGTGCTGAGGGCCAGACAACCACCTCCTGTGACAGATGGGGGGACGCATAGCGAGCCTGAGGCAGCAGGACCCGAGTTCAGTCCACAGTAGCTGCTCAATAAACAGTCACCAGCTCTTGCAAGCAGGACTCATGGCAAGGCAAGGCGCATGCTCAGAAAACCGCTGGGCATTCCCCCCATTTCCAGCCAGTGTCCCCAGAACCCTGTGGGCACAGAGTTCTTCCTTATCCCTCTCTTGCAGTTGCCTCCCATCTCCTTCCCTGGTGCGCTGGGGCTGCCCCCCCAAGCCCTGGCCTGCCACAGGAAATGCAGGGGGCTGGTCCTGAGGTCAGAGTGGCCCTCTGCAGGGGCTGTTCCTTCCTGCCCACCCCCACCCCCGCTGCCGAAGCCCTGATTAGCCTGGGTATTGGGTGACCCCTGCTCTTCTTCCCCTGCCCCGCAAGGGTTAATCAGCCTTCCTGCTGGGCGGCTGGGCGGCTGGGCAGGAGGCAGCAGGGCGGCCTGGCGGCAGGAGGCTTTCATTACTTTGATGGGGTACATGTGCTGGGCTTTATCTCCGGCCCTTTCTCCGTAATTCAGCGCTTGAACGTCTCAGCTGTCGGCCGATCTGCAGACAATTGCTCGGGGTAATACTATCCGGAAAAAGCTGATAAAACGCAGATGTGACGAGGCCTCTGAAATTTGCGGTTTGCTAAGTGGTTTGCTGCGATGCTTGCCCATGGCCAGGGCGGCTTCCCTGTGAGGCTGGGAACAGAGGGGGTGGGAGCCGATTTTTTTTTAAGTGAAAGGTTGAATAGAGGAAATGACTGTAGAATTTTTGTTTCTATCATTAGGGAGATGGTGAGTAGAAAGTGGAGGTGATGTGAGCGTATCACAGGACGTGTGAGCTCCCGGCCGGCCCGTCCCATCCCAGCCAGGTCAGGGGCGTCTCAGGAGTGGAGAGCCCCAGGCTTCCCCTATACAGTGTGGGGGACATGGGCAGAGGTTCCTGGGAGGAAGCCCAGGCTGTGTGACCCTGGGAAAGTCGCTTGGCCTATATCTGGCTCTGCCAACTCAACAGACTAACAAGCTCAGGCACTGCCCACATGTGCTCTGCCTGGTAGGAGGCCTGGCACACAGTAGGTGCCTAGAACCCCAGAGAGCAGAAGTGACGCATAGCATGAAGACCTGGGTTCCAGCGGGGTGGGGGGGGGCAGGCTGTTAGTTCCCAAAATCATGACTTCACGGGCCAGGGCCACTAGGCTGGACCTCTTGGGTGAAATGATAGGCACTAGGGTCTTCCTGGGCCACAGGAGGGTTAGTTAGAGTGGTACCCCCCAACCCATGCTGTGCCCCCAAGTCACCAGGCATCAAACCATGTGAGTCCTACCCTGGAGGCCAGGTCCTGAGAAGCTGCATTTTTCTCAAGGTCCCAGTGATGCTGCTGCCCTGGGCCCTGCACTCTGGGCCCTGGACCCTGCACCCTGGACCTCACTGCAGAAGCAACTGGAGGTTCAGGGCCCTGGACCCTGGACCTTGCACTCTGGACCACACTGCAGGAGCAACAGGAGGGCAGACCCAAAGTGCAGGCTAGAGAGAGGCTGTCAGCCTCTGCTGGCCAGAGAGAGCGGGTAGGGTGGCTGGCGAGGGCTTACATGCCACGGACAGAGCCAGGCTGGGTGCCGTGATCCCCACACCCACCCTGTGCTTCCCCTACCCTCGCTGACCCCTTCCTTAAACTGGCCCACAGCTGCCTTCAGACAGCGGGTGTGGCCCGTGAAAGCATCCTTCAGAGCACGCTTCCCAGATGGATTTTATGACCAAGGAAAATGCGCACACACCTCTTCTGTCCCGGGGCCACAGAACGTGGCTATCAAGTCCTGGGCCCGCTGCAGCCACAATCCCACAGGCGGTGGAGGCTGCGCCGCCATTTCAGGCCGCCTTTGAGAAGCCCTGGGTTACGGCGCTACTAAGGCGAGGAGTGCTCTCACCCTCAGTCCCGGAAAACAGCCCGGCCAAGTGGGTTGGTTGCCCCCTGTAGGGTAAGGTAAAAGGGTCAGGCTTTTCTGCCCTCCGGCCATCAGGATGGATGAGGGAACCCTGCGGTCCTGAGTGCATGCCTGACGCCGGCACCTGGAGGAGGGTGTGGGCAGAGGTAGACGGGATTCACCTGTGCTGAGGCTGGGCTTTTAAGGGCGGCGTCACGGGGACGCCAGCAGAAGCCAAAAGAGAAGCCGAGAAAGCAGCAGCAGAAGCCGAGAGAGAAGCAGCGAAGGCCGGAGAGCCCAGATAGAGTGAAGACTTGCTGGGGGCTGGGAGACCTGCCAGCCTCCCGGCCCCCCAGCACCCCTGCCTGCCGTGTACCTGGTAATCCCAATAAAGCCTGCAAAAACCCACTGAGAGCTCCAGGACTCTCCGCAGACTGCTGGATCAGAAAACCTGCTCAGTGGTCATTCCTGCCTTTACACCCCCATTTCAGACGAGAGCTCCCACAGCGCGAAAGGAGAAGCAGCATGCTGGCAGGGAACAGCCGGACATGGCGTCCTCGCCCCGCGCCCACAGCCAGGCCCTCCCGCGCCCACAGCCAGGCCCCACGGCTACAGCCAGGCCCACACATCCATTGCTAGGTCCTGCGCCCACAGCCAGGCCCCCGCAGCCACAGCAAGACCCCTCACCCACCGCCAGGCCCGGCCCCCATGGCCAGACCCCTGTGCCCACCACCAGGCCCTGCGCCCACAGCCAGGCCCACACACCCACTGCCAGATACTGCGCCCACGGCCAGGACCCGGCACCCACGGCCAGGCTCCCACGCCCACAGCCAGGCCCTGTGCCCACAGCCAGGTCCCCGCACCCACGGCCAGGCCTCACGCCCACTGCCATGCCCTAGCACCCATGGCCAGGCCCTGCACCCATGGTCAAGCCCCAGTGCCCACAGCCAGGCCCCTGCACCCACGGCCAGGCCCCACATCCACTGCCATGCCCTGGCACCCATGGCCAGGCCCTGCACCCACGGCCAGGCCCCCGTGCCCACAGCCAGGCCCCCTGTGCCCACGGCCAGGCCCCCGCACCCACGGCCAGGCCCCTGTGCCCACACCCAGGCCCTGCGCCCACTGCCATGCCCCAGCACCCCAGGCCCCCTGTGCCCACGGCCAGGCCCCCACGGGTGGCGGCCCCTGCGGGCGGGCGTGGGGCGCCTGCAGTTCCGCCTTCCAAAGAAAGAGGGCGCCCCTCCCCCTGCCGCGCGGCCGGGGCTGGGAGCAATTTTCCCACCAAGTGTAAATTAGTCAATCCCGAGTCTGTAAACGCGGCCTTTGAAGGGCCCTAATGAAGCACTCCATTAGGGCTTAATGACGGCCGCCTGCAGCAGCACGGGCCGGTGCCTTTTGATGTCTCGGGGCCACGGGCTGGAGGCTCGACTTATCTCAATGCCCCGGCAGGCTTAAAAAAAAAAAGGCAAAAAGCCCCCTTAGAGAAGTTGAAAAATTTTTAATGAAAAAAGTTAGTCCTGGCCTGACTGATGTTGGCACTTCAAAGCCAGCGCTGGCTAAATTGCTGTAGACTGCTTAATTCAAAGGTGCCCCCGCGCCAGTGACAGCCCAATGGTGACAAAATAGAATTGGCAACAGGAGCCGGGCGAGATCAAAGGCCGGCTATTGTAATAGTTTTGTTCCATGAAGAATTGCTTATTGT